TGTGTGTGTGTGTGTGTGTGTGTGTGTGTGTGTGTGTGTGTGTGTGTGTGTGTGTGCGTGTGTGTGTGTGTGTGTGTGTGTGTGTGTGTGTGCCTTCTTCCAGTGCTGGCCCTTGAGAAGCAATGCTCCAGCCTCTAAAATAGTGCAAGGTAGAATGACTTCACGAGCTGGGGCAGGCCCAGATTTACGGTGTTGACTCGGCCTGGCCTGCCTCAGGTCGCCTCCTCAAATGGCTGAGTTTTCCGGATATAAATGGGCAAGATTTGTTGCGGTCAATCTGTACCCGGTCTCAGTGGGTTTTGGTCCTTTTGGAAGCTTTGGAACCTTTTAGAGCCTGCGTCTGTTGGGCCTGGCTGTTGACTTTTCTTTTCCTTTTGTTTTCTTTTTTCTTTTTCTTTTTTTTTTCTTTTTCTTTTTTTTTCTTTTTGTATTTTATTTTGTTTATTAGTTTTTCCTCTTCTTTTTTCTTCTTTTCGTCTCTTTCTTTTCTATCCTGTTTGCACACACACACAGACACACACACACACACACACACACACACACACACACACACACACGCACGCACGTTGTTGCCCATAAAAAATGTCATCATTGAACAGTTTTAGATTGACCTTTCGACTTGATTGGAAAGACTCACCACGTCCGGAAGACCATGCACATGGAGAGTGTTGGCAGCCGCTGATGAAAAGACACACATCTGTTTGAAGAATTGGAGCAGATGAGAAACCGACGGTTCGCTGTCGCTAGTCCTAGATACGCCATCGAACAGAGCAACCAACACGGACGCGGCTGCTTTGCCACTGTCAGTATCGGACAAGATATCTGCAAGAACTTCGATGCAGTTGCCATCTGCAGCATCTGGCATCCCTTGGGACAGAGAGTTGTCTGGTAAGACAGCTCCTTCTCCTCTCGATGCGGCGAACGTGGTCTCGTCCTCAGCCGCCCCTGGTCGGATTGAGGATGCGAACAACGATGATGCTGATGTCGATGTCACAGTTGATGCTGCTGTTGAGAATCCATGGGAAGAGCAATGTGTTCGTCTTCGAGCAGTTGCAGTGTGTTCGTGTTCGGCAGGCGCTGCTCCCACAGATCGAGATCTATTGCCTAATAGGAGACATGCATATGGATGTGCCTTTGATATCCATGACTCCAACATCCACATATTGAAACCCAGCAGTTCTTCTTTCTTGAGGAGCCAGATGAGAACGTGCTGCTCATTCGTTTGCATGCATGGGAACGGCTTGCGGAAATGTTTGGAAAGAAGGATTTCCGTGAGTGCCGTCTCCGCATCGTTGCTCTGGAGAATGGCATACTGCCCAACATCTCGCTTTGCGGAGACGTACAGGAATAGGATGAATCGGATGCAGTCTTCAACATTCGGCTGATCGTCCTTCAAACGCCTCCGGTTAATCAGAATGTGTTTTTCTATTGATGACAACAATCGCATGCTGTCAACAATTCTGCAGCGGCAGCAGCAGCAGTTACAAATGGCACAGGCATTCATTCTCGGAGTGAGTGAGTTTTTCTTTTGTTTTTTTGTTTTGTTCTTTTTGTTGTTTTTTGTTGATTTTTTTTTTTTCCCCCTAAACTTTTTTTGTTTGTTTGTTTGGGAAAATGCAAAGACTTCCTCACAAACAACCCCGAACGACATGGACAAGACTACTGGGACCATAACCCAGCTTCGGTTACGTGGGTTATTAGCCCAACAAGTGGCAACAACGCAGTTCTTTTTTTTTTTTTTTTTTTTTTTTTTTAAATGCAGTTCACAACAACACGAACCCCAATCTTAAAAAAAGATTGTTCTGAACAAGTGACAACGGTCAAAAACCGAAATGCTGAGTTTTTTTTGTTTGTCTCTGCCATCCAAAAAAAGAAAAAAAAAAACAGAAAAAAGTTCAAAAAACTTCAAAAAAGAAAAAAGTAAATCAGTTTTTCAGGAGAGTAGGCCGTTTTATAAGCACACATTTTTGACGTAGTCAGGACTCACAATTGACACTTTTTGAAGCGGGAGTTTGATCTCGCGAGCTTCCTGACTGTTGTACAATAGGCCACCTCTGGTAAGATACAGTCTGAGACACATAGTACGTGTGAAGTACCGGTAGGTAAGACTGCGGCAGCTAGTAAAAATCTTTGTGGGCACCGGACGCACCTCTCAATCCTAGATCAGAGTCCCTGTCAATTTGGGCAGTGGCCTCAAAAAAACATGCCGTAAGGTGTCTGATCTGGACCGGAGAATTCTGGAACGAGCACCACTCACGAGCAGTGCCCGTTGGAGAAGAGGCACCATGCGTGCAGCAGCTGGATTACAGCGCACGTATATGCCTTGCAGTCTTGCAGAGTAAGGCGATGCTCTGTTGAACGGTAGTGGCGGCATGCTGTGGGTCGATCTGCTGGAAGACTGAGACAGTACTTTGGTGCCGAGACACTCCCTCTTACGACGACTACGGATATCGGGAACAGATATCTGCCAAAGAAACGGATCGACTGGCCTGAACAAGGGGATGATCTGGCAATGCGTGTAGGGAACGTGAGGAAGACAGTTTGGGAGAAGGGGAAGTCAGGGAAGGTTTAGCTTAGCGATTGTGGCATTCATGAGCTAATATATAGATAATGAGGGAACTAGATTCTGATTCTCTCACTGCATGGATAGTGGACGGTCCTCCTGAAGAGACTTGGGTGCACACAAGTCGAAATGCGTCGAATGATACGGGCTTTAAAGGTTTAAATTTGTTTTTCTTTATCACTTATCTTTTTGTACCTTCCGTGTGAACAGTCCTGATCTATTCTTGTTTTTTCACCCATGATGATCCTGGCGGCCATTCAAACTGATCCAATGGTTCCCAACCATTGTTCAACCTATTTTGATACGATCATTGATGCAGATCATCCTATCCTACAGCAATGATCGTACAAAAATAAGTTGATCTCCATTGATGATCGTATAAAAATAGGTTGGAAAATGGTTCGGAATCATTGGCAGTGCATGTGCATGTGCACGTGTATGTGCATGTGCACGTGCATGTACATGTGGATGTCCATGTGCATGTGCATGTGCACGTGGATGTGCATGTGCATGTGCGTATGGATTTGCATGTCTCCCCTCCATGCCCGTCCCCACCCACTTATTTTTGGAGTGGATTCCCCACTTTTTCTTTAGGCAACTCATATTATAGTCATATCCTCTGCCCACACTTCTCTACCCCCTTTCCCCCTCTACCATGGTCCCCCTTTCCAACCCCGCTGACCCACCTACTACTTCCTCCCCCCCCGAAAAGAACACCCCTCTTGTGTCCCTTAAAGAAAGGGGAACAACCCTAACAGCGTGTGCATTTTGCAGCATCAGGGGGAAATCCTTCTTGCACAGAGTACGAGGTACCGTCCGGTGATCTTTATTATCCATGGCCAGTTATTGTTCTCACTCAATCCAGGTTAAGTGTGACCTCGCCTCAGGTGAGGTATATATCACACAAGCAGATATCAGTGAGGAAAAAAAAGACTTGTCAAGGAACAGTCATAGGCTTGTACAATTTCACTTGCAGTGAGGTGCTGTCTTCCTCAGGCATAAAAGGAGGAGGAGGAGGAGGAGGAGGAGGAGGAGGAGGAGGAGGAGGAGGAGGCGGCATGCCTAAGCCCCCTACCCCAGGATCCTTCACAGGACGAATCTGGCAATGTTCACATGCATGATTGTTATGAAATTATGAACACTATCAATTAGGGTTTAAACTGCCACTCATTTTGTAATACCAGACCCTGAACCCGGGCCAGTATCCCAACCAGACCTGACTGGGGACGGTTTCCATTTTGCAGTCCGGCTGAACCTACGCCGGGCCTGTTTTCCAAGCCAGGGTGGGGCCTGCCGATTACCAACTGGGAATTTTCTTGGTCGCTCGGCACGAATGGTGGTTTCAAAGAAATCAAACGAACATTCAAACTAAAAATGTGTTGTTGAAACCTCTCCATGGCGTCATCATAACACAGAGACCCTAAACCCTAAAAGGGAAAATCCGGAGACGTTCACACTCGAAGGTTGTCATCGTTACACCTCAATCCTAAACCCTAAACCCTAAACCCTAAACCCTAAAAGGACAAATCCGGAGATGTTCACTCTCAACTTCTGTGGTGAACATTTCCAATCTGAGTAGTAAGAAGAAGAAAAGACAAATGTTGTTCAGATTTGATGTCATCATTATTTAAATCGAGCAGGAAGATCACGGATCAACCTGGGAAGAGGTCCTGCTAGCAAAGAGTACTGGATTTAACACCTGAGTCTGAACGTGTTTGTGGAGACGTGAAGAAAATCGCAATTGATCTGCTATTCTCCATCTCTATTTAAAAACCCATCCAGATGAAGGCACTTGCTCAAATCCTCTTCGCTGGTGGGACCTTGCTCCTAGTCTATCCCCCATAGACCATTCCTTCGCGGAGAGAAGTCTGACGCTCACATTCATTGAATTTCATTCATCTCTTCTGTAAAACACCAGTACTTCCTAAAGCCATGCCCGTTAACAAGCCACAATCTTAGGAAATGTACGGGTCACTACGGGAGCGCCCAAATTCATCCGACTAGAAACGTTTCTACTCTATTTGTTTCCATGGCCGATAGCTGGGCCAAGTACTGGTGGTTTAATGCTTAGTGGATAAACTTAAACCCCCAGTACTTCCGGGCCAGTGGCTTTTTCTTCTGGGCCTCGAAACGCCCTGCGAGCCAAGCTTTGTCAAACCATCAACACGACCTTTTTTTTTTTTTTTTTTCCTTTTGGCCGGCTGACACGGCACGTTAACATCAAGGGCCTGAGACCGATGTATGGACCAAGTACTGGTGGTTTAAATGAAGCCTCTCTCAAAAGTTACTAGCATCATTCGCATCTTCCTCGATATCAAGGATGGAAATAAAATAGACACTTCATGAAGTTCATGTAGAATAATAGCACATCGTGTGAGGTAAGAGGATGTCAACGGGACAATTATCTTTAAAAAAAAAAAAAAAAAAAAAAAAAAAAAACAGAGCCAGCTGCTACTATCATCTTTTTTGTTTTTGTTTTTCTTTTTGCTGTGACAACCATTCATCAAACACCTGGGAAAAAAAAAAAAAAAAAAAAAAACTACACACTAACTCTGTTATGAACACAAGACATAGTACGGCTCCAGCTATACCCGACTTCGGGTATTTGAAAAAGAAAAGAAAAGAAGGAAGACGGATGTTATGTTATGCTTGCCGGTGATAAGCAACAGGACTGTTGCTCCCCAGAAATGATGGGGTTGTGTTTCTTTGTAAAAAAAAAAAAAAAAAAAAAAAAAAGAGGAGGAATGAACATATGTTCTTTCTCTAAAACGTACGAACCTGTTGTCATAAAGCATCCCTGCATAGAATAAGAGCAAGACGGCAAGTTGAGCGGCTGCCACTTCCTCATCTTTGCTGCCGTCTTCTTCCGCCACAGCCAGAGCATCTTCTGGAGAAGGTGGAAGCTGAGTAGCTGCTCCTCGCAGTAGGTTTCCATAACCCTCGTCCAATAGGTAATCGACCAGATCTGCAAAAAACTCGAACATCGCTCGCCTTATGCTTGCCACGCCGAACCGGTCCATGATCTCGTATCCAAGACGGAACCAGAAAGCTCTAGCGAGTTTTTTCGCGTGGACGATCGCACTACGCCGGGACGAGTGCCGGAACACTTCTGCAAGTGCCTCAAGGAATAACAGAACTAAGTGCTCATCCTCGATCCTACGGCTGAGATCGTCTTGGAGCAAAATGAAACACGGCAGCAAATGGATGTCGCAGATCTGTAACAGAAGGTCGAATCCTTCCTCCTGACTCTGAGGGCGTCGGACGAAGGGATGTCCAGCAGCGGCGGTTGCTGGCTGCAGACGACTGGGCAGCACCGCCGACAGCTTGTCAGTAAATGCTCGCTGAAAGTACTGGCTTGCCGATTTCAAAAGCAGTGTCATCAGTCTGAAGGGCTTGGTTCCCGTCGGACAGCTCTCCGTTAGCGGCTGCTCGGAGGGCGTGAGAGCTTCCGCGAGAGCGGAGAGGGTGCTTTCCAAGGAAAGCGAAAGAGACAGATCAACATTGCAGCTCAGAAGGGATGTAAGCACTTGGCAGCAGGTGCTGTATATGTCCAGGCAGACATCGACAGCCGCTTCTTCGCAATTGAGACTGACGTTACGATTATCGGCGATCGCTATCCCGTCCAACGGTTCAGCGCAGTACACGTGGGACGAGTCCTTGTCTTGCTCAACCATGATAGAAATAAGCTGCGTCAGTTTCTGTGCGCTTGGAAGTGGCACACTCGCTGGATCAACTGCAATAACTTTTGACAACAACGCCATGATCTCCGCCTGAAGGGGACGGAATCCCGACTGAATGCAAGTGTCCAGCCAACGAATAACGACGTCAAACCCGAAAACAAAGTGGCGAACGAATTTGTCGCCAATCACGGACAGCATGCGCAGTACTTGCACCGACTGGACGACCAATGCCTCATCGGCGTCTTGAATTCTTACGTCTGCAGACCAAATGCACCCTCTGTCAATCATCAAAAAATAATGTCATAAATTGATGTAATGTATGACCCGCCATAACACAGACTGAGAACACTGCTGATTTCTGAAGTTCTGCCGATGGAATGGATGCCTTGCTGATATTCCCGCATTCTGCTAAGTTTTCTAAGTTTGTGTGTGTGCGTGCTTGTGACCTGCGTGCCTGTCTGAGTGCTTGTCGGTAGGAGTGTGTGTGTGACCCGCAAGGGTACTGGCTTGTTTGGCCGGCCCGTAGGGCCGGTACTTACCTGTGGCCGTGGCATTGAGGGTTCCGGCAGGGAAAACACTCAAGTAGCGGAGCCAGGGGCCCGCGGTGCTTAAAGCAGCAGGAAAACACTCAAGTAGTGGGTAGGCCGGTACCGCACCCAGTAGCAGTAGATGTGCCGGGTACTCGAGGCTGAGCACAAGAAGACAAAGTTGGCATTTTTAGAGGCCCAGTAGTGGTAGGCTAGGTCTAGGCTGGTACCAGTCCATCCAGTCCGAGTCTAGAGCCTGTACAGGCAATATCAGAGTCTGCAATGATGTTTCCCTCCGCAAGGGAGGAGGTACCGGTTGCTTGGGAGGCCGAGCGGCCTGGAAGTCACCGCCCA